GGCTCAGTGCCCATTCTCTCAAAACGAATGAAACAAAAACTACTTTTATGCCCGTTGGGTTAAAGCAAAATTTTAAAAAGTTTACCGAATTTCACTCTAAGTGAACGGTTTGACTGTGCATGCCTCAAGTAACCTCAAAATCCGTGTCGTCATAGTCGACTTCGATCTGCCATGGGGTGCCCATGTCTCGAGCATTGCAAAATAAGATACAGTGCCATTCTCGATTCTCTGTACAAATTACTTCATTACTTTACTTCACATCTTCTCAAAATCATCACACAGGCGTACGTTTTCCGCCATGTCACAATGCCACCTTTGCGTGTAGGGTGGGGCAAACAAAAGTCAACTACACAAAATAAAAAACTATCACCTTTGCTGCAAAAGTCATTGCCGGCCCTAAAAGACACTATCACATAACTCCGGCTTTAAATTCCCTTCGATGGCCGAAGATCGAGGTCGTGGTGGCGCACCGCAACGTGATGCAGTGTCCTAGAATTGCCGACTTTGGGTGTAAAGCAACACCCTATGAGGAGGAATTTTTCACTCCTTCTCCCCAGATTTTATATGAATTTTCACTCTTGCCTGATATTGCCTAATCGCACATGCCAAACCCCCTACTTCCCTTTCTGAGGTTTTCAGATGTCGTCCACAGCCGAGCTCACTTGAAACCGCCAAGCATAAACGGGGCTCCGCAGAACCTGAACACCTATGCCTATGTCCTGCCTCACCTACATCCGAATCATATATATGTATGCACAAAGCAAGGGCACAAAGCAAAGCAAAGCCAGGTACCCCCAAGCCCAAGAACCCCAGCGACCCCAGCCGCTTGCACGCATTAAGTTTGGTTTGTTTACAAAATGCATCACCATCTGCAGCTGTGCGCCAAATACAAGGTTTTCACGCATCCCCTATTTTTTTGGTCTCACCACCACACAACGAAAGCAGAGCCTGGTGCCAATACCAGCAAGGCCTGGTAGAGAATTTTACTCCACGTGCTTCTTTTTTCCCGAGGAAACTTGACCTCTAAATTGCATCACTCCCGAAACGCATGAGTGAAAAGTTCAAGAAATGTCTTCCAAATTAAATTTACAAGATGAATATCATCATTTGAGCACTTATTTTAACAGATTTAAGTCAAATCAGCCGATAACAACATTTTTCCAGAAAAGTATCAGTCTTTATATTTATTTAACTACTTTTATTTTCTTGGTACCATAAGAGTGTGACACCACTTTATCCTTCCTTTCTTTTGGATTGCCTGTAGAGGTACCATCTGTTGCTTAAAATGTCGACCAATTTCTCTGCAAGATGCTTCAACTGCAATCTTGTACGTATTCCTTGCATAAATTGGTTTAATTCGCCAGCCGCCCAAACATGTTTGATATGCACCCATGCGTGAACAATTCCCAGGGAATGAAGGAGACAGTGTAAAACACGGAGCTTTTTTACCGCCATTTTCGCCCTCTTAAACGTTCGGTTAACTGCTTTCTTGGCTCATGGCGGTGCTCAATAAGGACAAATCCAAGCTTTTCGAGCGTCTAATTCACCAGGCTACCTGACAAGGCTATTTTAATGCTGCCTTTTTGAGTCTTGGGACAGACCTGACGCAGCTAATACAGAAGTGTTTGATGGCGAAATTCTGCCCTCTGGAGATGTTTATCATGCGCACCTCTCACTTGTTTTGCATTTTAATCTCGAGTGTTGGTGGGCATGACTGATATTTATACTTGGGGGGTGAGTCGAACGACTCTGTCTGCCAGCAGACTATGCAAAAGGTACTGAATTTTTGTTTTTGGGGGAGCGGGAAGAAGACGGTAGCCGGTAGAAGTCTCCTGTGGACCACGTAATTGTTTACCTTGCCTGCTTTCAACACATGATTGGTAACCAGAGTTAACCATTTTCTGTTTTAATGCATCGAGTTTTGTCATAAGACAAATCATGATGCCACAAGGCATGCAATGGGCTTATTTTGTTCCATATTCTTGGCTATTTGCCCCAAATTTTTTTAAGTGGACCCCCATGGCTGCTTTAACCAGATTTTTTTTTATAGTTGTCATGGTTGGCTGACCGGCAAATGACAGTACTGTATATATACACTATATTTTTAACACAGGATACTCTAAGTTGCATAGCATATTATGATATGAATCAAATATTGGTATGTAACAAATAGTCAGACCACCCCATTTAAAATGTATAGCCAACATCTCAAACTTTGTCATTAAATATTAATAAACAAGCCCAAATGGATCCATTTGCTGCAGCTGAAAAGGCAAGCAGCAATACTGGCATGATCATCTAAAAGTGATGTTATTTTTGGAGAAGAGAGATTGTTTTGTGGAGCATACCCATTATTGCCCTTGACATAGGCTAACCATGACAATCAAAATAAGTTGTTCAAAGTGATTTATAGTGTTTTGATTTGCGTGTTGCCAACGTTGTCTGATGTCAACAAGCATGCACAAACGAACTGAATAAAAATGCAAGTTGAAACCAGTCAAAAACTAGCTTTAAATATCATGTTTTTATCACAAGTGCTGCTGTCAACAGATAGGTGAGATGAGATGATGTTCATCATATGGGCTACTCGAAGTTAGGTTTAGTTAGTCAAGTGCATAGCAAGTGGCAATAGGAATTGTGCAAGAATCTGTAACTCACAGCTGCTGCTGTGATACAAAAACAGGTTATACAGGATGAGAAGATGTGAGGTCTCTTTAGGTTAGGCATAGGCTACTTTCATGGAAATAAGCATTGGTATATTGTAAGAAACGGTGACAAAATTTTTATTTTCCCTGCCCCCACATTAACCGGCTAGACGCCCTCCGCTCGGCTGTGGGGGGGGGGGGGGGGGGTCAGTTTGAACCCCCGCTCTAAGATCTCGGGAACTAAGAAAGCTAGAGACACCAAATTTACAGGATGTCTTGAGCTATGCGTGAACACGCTTAGGTTAGGGTTTCAGCTTCCTAGATCATGACCTCCAGGTCGAATAAAGTCAAACAAGGTCAAATTCCAGGTTGGTCTCCAAAGCACCCTCAGAACCCAGGCAACTGTCTCTAGGCAGAAAGTCACAAGCCTATTTCAGGTCATTGACCTTGTTTGACCCTTTGAAGGTCATAGTGACCAAAATGATGCAAGATTGCCCTGCGTTTTCATTTGAATAAGTGACAAAAATTGCGCTAGGCAGTATGTTCCTAAAACAAAACGTTCGACCCGGGTCGTCTTAGGTCAATGGTCTGTTCTGACCTCTAAGAAGTCAACTGAAAATGTATAATGTGGTTCTTGCTGTCAATAAATTCGCAATGAGCACCAGAAACTATCCCATACAGCTTGAGTATTAGCTTACTATCCCTAGAGTAATAAATCAGGTTGGTTTTGACCTTGGTCTGACCATCATACCTGACCTTTGGTCAAAGTAATTTGCTCATTCAACATTTGTGGTGTCTAAGTAGGCATCTCAGATGTGTATGTCTTCGTCAAACACTCCGTTGTTGTATCACATTGAACGATTCCCTAGAAATTGCCTTCGCTGAAACCATGGGCTGACTTTGACCTGTCATAGGTCAGCGACCTTACATGGTGCATCTAAAATTTGTATGTCAAACGATCCGCTGTGCAATTTTCTACAGCTATGCAAAATGTGGCGCGGCTACGCCGCGCCGTTCAAAAACCATTCGGTCGGAGGGGGGTCAATTTGCCCCCCCCCCCTCCCAACCCGAGCTCGTGTTGATGCATTCTGTTTCACTTTAATGGCCTAAGATGTTAAAAAACGAAATAGTTTCGTCAGGTTTCTGATATTACGTCTATGCCAACTTGAAAGAGATGTCTTTGGTTGCTGAAGCACCCGTCGCAAGCTCACAGGTTCCGTCTTTTGTGAATGGATTTTTTCACTCCCACACGGTTTTTTTGCGATGAAATTTTTCACTCCCACCCTAGTTCAAAAGTGATTCTAGCTCCCTGACGTGATGTATGTGTTAACGGTGCTCAAAGAAGGAGCAGCACCTCACAAGGTCCTTGCGCCCCACGCGCTGCTGTTTTGAGCCGTTGAACGCACGCCTCGGACAGAGGTAGCCTATACCCGCGCAAGGACCTCCCGGCCGCCACACAGACGACGTTTACTTGTCGAGCGGCAGCTGCCTGGAACCGCCTGCCATCGTGCGTCCGTCATGTCACAGCAATGAGCACGTTTAAGACTGTCATACGCGATGTGATTTTAACCACTGACAACCGATCTGATCTGCCCATAGTGCGTTGATTGGTCTTTTTAGCTTTTGACCATTGTTCGTATCACTTTTTTGTACACTTCTTGGGCGCATCATTTCATACTGCACCTGCATTACCTGAGACCGCAATGACCACCATGTGGATGGTTTCCAATATACTAAAACTCATACTGATACTTGGCTGTCGCGGCTGCTCATTCGAGTCAGGGCCGTGCTGCATAGGGTCAGGGTCATGCTGGACGGGGTTAGGGCCATGTTGAATGCGGTTAGGGACCATACTGTACGCGGTCAGGGCCATGCTGCACGGGGTCAGGGCCATGTTTCACGGGGCCCGGGTCATATTGCGCGGGGTCAGATTGCACTGGGTCAGGGCCATGTTGCATGTTGCAGGGCCATGCACTTATGCATGGCGAGATGCTTGTGTCCACGCGGTCGTGCCGTTCCCGTGCTCCGTGGTGACCGGTGTGCGCTCTGTACGGCCGTGACTGCGGCCGTCTGGAGGCCACGGACACCGTCTGGAAGGTCCGGCCTGCTCGCTGTGCGGCAGCGGCGGAGCCTGACAGCGCCCCGCTACAGGCTCGCGACCACAGGCGAACGTGTCTCGCTCCGGCCCGCCGCTGGTACCTGCCAGTCCCCGTCTGTACCATGCTCTATCCGCTGAATCCGCTGAAGAGTTTTGTAGGCATTCTGTGTTCCGATTAAAGTTAAAGGGTAAAACAACCCATCTGAGGTGAACGAGGTATACCCGTAACGAGAGCAAATTGTTTTCATACCAATAAACGCGATCACGCAAATTATATTTCGCTCAAGGCTGTTCACATACAAACATTTGATAGCTCATGCTCGAGGTAATTTTGTTAGCAACAAGCAAGACAGCAACCCGGTGATAAACATCTGCTGATATCTTTTTTACGCGGTACCATTACCAGCGTACGGTCTTACACCATCAACAGGGACGCAGTAACGGGGCGCTCGGAGCAACGTTTCATCACGCGGCATTATCCCAGGCACTGTTAACCGCCCGCACCATCGAGCTCCGACAGCGACTATTCGTAATGGGAAGCTACTTCACGACTCTCGAGCTACGTTTCCGCCTGTCGTCAACGTTCGCCATATCAGTGGTCTCTCTCCTTTGATAAACTCGCCGCGGCGCTTCACGCCGCCATGACGCGCTGCCGGTGCCGCACCATAAGCGCCCCCACCACAGCCGCCGCCAGCAGGACGACGGCGGCGATGATGATGCCGACGATGACGCCGACAAGGAGGCTACCGTCCGGGGGAGACGGCACGGAGCCCAGGTACAGGATCGCCGTGTTGGAGACGGCGCTGCGGTGCCCTATGCGGAGAAACGCCGCTGGTCAGAGACGATGCTCAGCGGCGACTCGGTCGTGGTCGCCGCAACAGTGATGCCGCGTGGGCGAGTCCGGCGGTGTCACGCTCCCTCGCGCGCCAGAGGTGCATGTACATGGGAGACGACGAGACGCATCGTGTGTAGTGGGCTGAACATCGAGGCTGAACAGACGGCATCCCACAAACCAGCTCATCACCGAACAGTTCGTTTAGTTCGAGAACTGAAAATGATTTAGGACTTGGCGGACAAGTGCCAAAATCACATTTCGTAGTAAAAATGGACACCTGGGAAGACTGCGTATGTCGCTTTCTGATGGCTAACCCAGGTCCGTCATATCTGACGGTAGGGGAGGACATCTCCCGACAACCCGCACCAGCAGCATCTCGGGGCCTGTTCGGCATCAGCGTCTTACCCTGCTGGTCGAACGTGCACATGGCCAGGTAGACTGTATCCAGGCTGGACGGCACTGGCAAAATCAGGTTCTGCACGGTGCCGCTGATCTCCGGGGGCGCCACCAGCGAGCTGTCGACCTCCTCGCCGTTGGCATCGAACTGGGTCGGCGACAGGTCGGTCGCATTGGCAGACCACTTGAACTGGTACCGGTATGCTGTGGGAGAGCAGTTCGGTCGCGAGGTGAGGTCAGTCAGTGGTCAGCATGGGATGGAGAGGGAGGAGAGGCGGGTGGGGGGAGGGAGGGCAGCGCGCGGTAAGCAACAGACAACCAACGAACGGTGAGGGTATGGCCGAGAGGAAAGGCCGTTTAGGGTTTGCTTACGTGTCAACGTGACACGATTTTCCATCCGATGACGCGAGAGACCTATGATGATGGAAATGCACCGAAACGGGGCGCTGCGGGGTGCAAAAGCGACAACGTAACATTTCCCGGATTTCCCAGACACCATCCCTGGCTACTGATGATCTGGGTCTTGGCACACCAAAACGTACGCCAAGACGGGTCGGTAAGCTGGCGAGACCCACACAGACGTGAAAACGACGAACGATGCCATTTTGCCTACAGGCACCGCTGATATTTCTAGGTCCTACAACACCCTGGCAGTGCGCGACATAACAAACGCACCCATCTCATGACATGTTCCGGAGTAGAAATAGCTTTACCCACCGTACCCCGCCGAGCTCATGGCGGGGATGGGTAGGGTAGGGAGGGACGAGAGGGGCCGGTTGCCGTACCGATGCCCTGATCCAGGTCAGCTCCGGGCGCCGTCCAGGTGACCACGGCGCCGTCCGAGGCGCGTTCGCTCATGACCAGGTCGGTGACCTGGGCCGGCGGCAGCAGGCTGCCACGGGCGTTGTTTGTCACCTGGAAGGCCCCAGCGCTCACCGTCCGGGTAAAGCTGCCTGCAGACGGAGGCAAACTGTGAGTTACGAACCAGCAGGGTAATGACAGTCGGCCCCAGTTTGGGGTCAGCATATCAGCTGTGATATCTTCATTAGACGCACTTGCAAGGTTGAGAGTGAGTTTGTTCTTTTGTTTTGGGCGCTGCAAGTAACGTGACTGTGGCTATTGCGGCCTTGGTATGGGGATAAGGTGATGAAAACGTTATCGAAATATTTCGCCTGCTAACATCTAGCAACACGCATGTCACATCCTTAGGCACCAACAGTCCAGAATGACTTCTAGACCAATGGGCAGAACAACCGTGAGCGATAAGTTGTTGGAACACCTACTGCGTCACGTCCCTCGGATGGCAGCCAGCACATGTCAGTCAGCGACTGGCAGTCAGCGCGTCTGTCAGCAGCTAGTAGCCAGCACGTCTGTCAGCAGCTGGCATCCAGCATATCTGCCAGCAGCTAGCAGCCAGCACGTCCTAGCAGCCAGTACGTCTGTCAGCAGCTCGCGACGCTGGCCCGCGGCTCACCTGTTGGCCTGGTGTTGCCGATCGGGGAGGCGCTGCCGCAGCACCAGCTCGAGCTGTCGGTGTTGGGGTTCGGCATGGCCGCCGACGCCGAGAAGCCCTCGTTGATCACGGCGTTGCCGTCGTTCCGCACCTCGCAGACGACCGAGTACCGGCCCTGGGGCACACGGGCGACAAGGGACTAAGTCATCGGACAGGCCGGTCAGAACGAGTCTCCAGAGTGTGCCGGCCGTGGGGACTGTAAGGTATAGACGCGGGTCATGTCTGGCGCTCGCTGTCTGCCGGTGGGCTCGACCACCCACCGGCAGACCGAAATTTGCTCTCGTGAGGACGCGTGATAGTGAGGCGTAAGCATGAACCGTGCAAGAATGGGAACGGACAGTGCAGCGGGTTTTCCCCCTAACGCTGAGTACTAATCCGCTCAAGATTGAAGGCGCCAAGCCGGTAGCTACGGGATAGGAAGAGCAGGACAAAGTCCTAGAATTGACTCCTCAGTATTAATTTCCTCCCGTGAGGAGGCGTGATAACGGCAGACGGCGACGCACAACACCAGCGACAGTTGGGCAACTGCACAGCGCATGCGCAACACACCCCAGACCTTCCCCCTCCCCACACAAACACACGTATCTCTTGAGCACTGGGACACGGGGCACGAGCCGCGCAAGAATGGAAACAGACAGTATACCAGCTTTCCCCCTTAACGTTCAGTACAGGCGCGAATCCAGCCTGGAGTTGTTTTTTTGGGGGGTGGGGGCAACCGTTCGTCGCCAGCTGGCTGGTGTGGGATCCGAGGTCAAGTGAATGGTGCCTCTCGCGAGTACCTAGTAGAGACACCATTCAAGCACCGAAATGCTTTTGAACCTTCTATATACAGTACGCATGTTTACAAAGATCGTAACATAAGATATTACTTTCAAGAGTCAACTGGTCAGATGGGGTTTATTGCAAATGGTGATCAGGGTAACAAATGGTTAAACAGGGTGATCAGGCCGCACAAATGATGATTCTAGTTGCTATGGAGCGTGGTGGCAGCTGCGAAGCGGCTGTGGCGGGCGAGCACACCGGTGAGCCGCGCTGCGGGACGAGATGAATGATGAGTCGGTCAGGAATCAGGATGCAATGCCAATTTGAGAAGAACATGGGGCTGACGTGACATTCAAATTATATTGGTGGCGGAACACTGATCGTAAGCGTAAGCGACCACTGCTGCTGTCGCAGATGAGACCAATCTATGAAGTTTGGTATTAAACGTAGGACTGTTTTGCAAGAGCCAACGGCGTGAGGACACGAAGTGAGTAAAAACGTGATTAGTGGAAGTACTGATAAGCGCCATAACGCTATAACGAGTCAAACGACGATCAAATCGACGATCAACGATCAAAGTTAAAACGGACGGTAAGTAGACGAAATTTTTAAGTAGTTCTAGGAATGATTGGGGGGGGGGCAAAACATACTCCCAGAGTTTTTTTGGTGGGGGACATGGCCCCGTGTCCCCCCCCCCTCAGGATCCGCCTATGGCTTAGTACCAATCCGTTCATTTGGAGGGACCGAGCCGGTAGGTACCGGATGCGAAGAGCAAGGTAAAGCCCTAGACTCACTCCCATTGTTATCGCAAAGCACAAGCCCCCAAAATGGCTTTGGAAAGCGTTACAGCTTCGAACAAGCACTGTAGGCACTGCAACGTGCACCGGTTACACCGACACAAATACCACAATGGAGATATTGGAAACGTGATTCCTTTCCCTTAGGTCAAATGGATAGGCCAGGTTACGTTAAAGTATAATTGTTTTCCTAGGCAAGCGTACACATAAAAAACACGATGAGACGAAGCAGAATGGCTCCGTGGAAACATTTGATTGCCATTCCTTAAAGAGAATATTTCACACTTGAACATATTGAAGCAAACATCATGTGTGATGGAAGAAGCGCACTTATATCCATTAGTGTTGTTTTAAGTGAAAAAATACTGCTATAGGTAACACGATTTCTCTGATTAGCAAATATGCCCCTCGATGCGTCATGTTTTTGTGTGTCATCCTCCTTGCACTGGGTTGATTGAGAGCCAGTTGGCGGCCATTATATCTGGAAATAGTGTTTACGAAGGCCAGATATGAACAACTCGACAATTATATTGTTATTGGCCTTGATCGCCGCACGGGTAATGAAATGACAGAATTTGAATGACGTCATAGTGTTTCGGGTGGCTGGGTGACCTTAAAATAGTTACCTTGAAATAGTGTGCACATTTTCGCAGGCATGTCGCTCGGAAACTAGAATGTTCTAGGTCTCAAGAAAAGCGGGGCTGTGAACTGCACCGATTTATCCTTAACATCGCTCTTTCAGTTCAAACTCCATGTAAACCCGAAACACTCCATTCAAAGCTATTTTACATTCTAGCGTATATGTGGCAATGCTCTTTGCATTGTTTAAACATTATGTTCGGTATGTTTAACGCAGCTGTATATGTATAAGCAAAAATAGCATAAGCTTCTCTTTTTAGCATTATGTGTAAGATAGTTCTGATGCCGAAATGACCAACCATTAGCACATCAAGAGACGCTGATGAAACAACATCAGGCAACTTTTAATCATATTGAGAAAACACACATGCACAGTCGCAACCAAGAGGTGACGCCACTCACGCGGCGGAGGGCTTGATTACAACCGGGGTCGGGTACTAGGCTCGGGCTTGGTGGCTGTTCGGGAGCCTAGAATACAGAACCGCACGCGGCTGGTGCGCCGAGCTAATTATTCCATTGACCATCCACGGATAGATCACACGGGACGTCTTTTACGAGAGACCCTGTCCACAAACGGGTGGACCCCTCATTTGCTACTGCTGTCTGCCTGCTCACACCGCAGACAGAAAATAGATGGCAAATAGCTAACGCCTCCCGTCCAAAGCTGAAATAGCGACATGAAATCAGAATCCAGGGCTCTGTTCTGCCACAAGAACCAGCCAGGAACCAAAATTGGGAGCCAGGCGCATGCATGCTCTCAACCGCCATGCTAATAACTTGCAGCACACATGTTCTGGTCTGGAGGAACAAAACATCGCACATATAGAGCATCGACGACACAGCTAGAACGCAGGCAAGTAATACAAAAGAACACATTGTACCATTCCAGCTGCATGATTTTCTTTCATCGACCCCTCGGGTTTAACCTAGTTTTCTCTTAGTTACCTTTCCGTCGAACTGGGTGAAGTACTTGCTATAGATGCCATCGTTTCTAATGGCATCTGCAGCCGCACCATTGTCCAGGAGTAGCAGGTCCTGCACACCTGAACTAGCACTCGGTGTGGTGACGTGCGCCCTGCCGGCCAGGTGGTCAGGGTAGACAAGCCCCCGATCCGGGCCACTTCGGCCCGCTCCAGCTCGGGGCTCCACGTCCCGTGGCCATATCAACGGACCACGGATATATCCTGACTGAAGTGGCACTCATACGTGATATGTCTCACCAATAAACTGCGGTGGGTTTGGTCGCTCAAAACAAAATTTTCAACACAAAAACGCTTTAAATCCTCTAGTAAATTCTCAACCCCAGCGGACTGCAAGCGTCTGAGGTGTTGCCACCATCGGCCGGGACGTTTCGGACTGAAACATCGCCATACTGACAGCACCAACGGGTGTTGTGTGTAACACATTTAGGTGGCTGTCAAGCCTAAACTTAACATAATATTGCAGCGCGAAGCGAAAACTCACAAAAAACACACGCAAAACCCATGTGTATCAGGAGAGTATGTCGTGACGCCCACATATTTCAATCAAACACAAGTTTGCATAGGCCCCACTTCTCAACCTGGTGAGAGAAACGGCGTTGAAGGCGACATCCTACCTTTGTATTTGCTGAAAAACAGGTAGTTTGAAGGGCACCTTAAAGTTCAGAATGGTCAAAACTTTTAACCATTCTGAACGGTCAACTATGACTTTTGGCTCAAAAGATAGTAGTGAGACCGGCCGTTACTGACTGTCTCGTATCAGAGGCCTGTAGCTACGGGTGCCGAAAGTCATGGGAAACGGCATCTGGGCAGCGTTTGTGGGTGGAAGCGGCCAACAGCCAATCCAGAAGGGGGGGGGGGGGGCACAGAGTCATACCTTCCAAGAACAGTCGCATGGAAAGCGAAGAGCCCACGAGTGCACAAAGCTATTTTTGACTGATTGAGAGAGCGGTTATTGATATGATTGGGTGCTATGTGTCAGCCCGCCGGGCGCTCCCGATCGGCTAGAAACTCACCACGTTGCTCTCGGGTTATTATCGATGGCTCTGAGGACCTTATACTTGATGACGGAAGCCCCTTTGTTGGCCTGCCCCGGCACCCATGATCGCTCAGATTTTGGGCTGCGCATAGTAAGATGGGTTCCCGTAATAAAAAATGGCGTGCACCCAAAATTAAAATCTAGAGGCCGGAATGCAAGGATTTTTCATTGAGGGGGGGGGGGGGAACTAAACTCTGGAGTCTCCACAACATTGCGTGCCCACCCCCCACCCCACCCATCCCCTCTCCCCGCGTGACGAAATCCTGGATCTGCCCCCGCGCATGACGCAACACTGAACGGCTCGAGACAAGCCACACGCTGTGGGCGCAAGCGCGCTATGTAACACTGACGCGTGTGACGGTACAGTTGACTGTGGCAAAGTGGTTCATGATCGTCCCGATACGTGAGCGTGACGCGCGGAGCCAGCGCGTGGGAACGCCCCGATATGGCGACGCACGGTGACAGTTTGTTGTGAAGTCGCGCATGGGAGTCCAGTGTGACAGTCATCGGTGATAACGTGACGTCCGCGGAATTGTTTCTCTTTGACAGTGCTCTGGTGGATGTGACGATGAGCTGCCTGCGTGGATCTGCTATGACGACTTGGCGTCGCAGCGTGCTCAGCTGTTGGCTGTGCCTCTCGCCGAGGGCGCACGGACGGCCTGTGGTGATTGAGCCCAACACCGCTTGCGCCCGGCTGGTGGCCGTGTGTGCCGGCGTTCTTTGCCGGCGGAGCTAGGCCACTCACACCGCCCGCGGCCGGCTCGTGGCCGTGTGTACCGGCGCTCGCTGCCGGCGGAGCTAGGCCACTCACACCGCTCGTGCCCGGCTCGTGGCCGTGTGTGCCGGCGCTCGCTGCCGGCGGAGCTAGGCCACTCACACGACTGTGGCTGACAGCACGGCGTTGTTGCCCTGGCGGACCCGGCCCAGCACGGCCAGTCGCGTGGACTCTGTGACGGTCACCTGGCCGATGGTACCGATCCAGCACTCCGTTGTCAGCGGCAGCGTGCCGTTGGACCTGCCGACAGTGCACCCGTCGGGGTCACACGGACGCGTGGACGACATGACCGGAATGGGAGCCCACGGGGATGTACTGCCCACACTCTGACGGACGCCATGTAAAAACATTCTTTTAAAAAATATGGGGCCAGAGCTTACGCTAAGCAATGCTTGTTGTATGAACACTGACCCTTACCTGTGAAAACGTGATAATTCAATTCCAGGTCGACAGCACAATTAGGTGCTCAACGCTCAACGTCCGTCCTACCGTTCGGCGTCAGCTGACCTGCAGGATGACTGCTGCTTCCAACCACGGTCATGGTGGGTGGCAGCCCATGCCCGTTAAAGGCAGACAGCGGAGCCCTCAGCGGCTCGAACCCACCACCCCACTGGTGGATGGATTAGAAGGCAGGCGCTCCAACCAACTGAGTTATCGCAACACCCGTCCCGACAGGGCAGACAAGCACTCCCTTCAGACAGTTACGTCAAACACTCTGCCGCAATATCTAACAGCTATTTCGTCCGCAGGGCTACGACCTTGTGACCTTGCCAAGTCAGGAAGACATTCCTCATTCAAGCACAGTGAGCACCACGGCGAGTCTAATCGTGCAAACGACGGCGATCACGGAAGGTTTCAAGGACATGCTCACATTTGTACCGGGTTTGAACTGGGATTGCAAGATTGCAAGCCACGAAGAGACATTTGCGACCATAATACGTTAAGCCCTAGGACGTCCTAGCTGCGAAACATGAAAGCAATCCATTCCTTCAGGAAAAGCGCCAATTTTTCATTCTAAAAGGGAGTGTTTAAGATCTGAATGTGCTTTGTAACTGATATGACAATTGCTAAGATCATTCATTGTAGTTCACAGCCGTGCCCTTTATAATACTAAGTGCCATCTAGTTCCTGAGCTCTCTGAGCTGGACTACGAAAGTGTGCACACTACTTCGTACGGACTATTTCAAGGTCTTCCAGGCATGCATAACGCTATAGGAACGTTACACAAATATTGCCACCCTATTGACTATGTGGTGTTCAGAACTGAGATAGCAATGATCAACGAGTTATTCGTGTCTGTCGTACGTAAGCACAATTTCTGGCACGAACGGACTTCAACTGGTTTCCAACTAACGTTATGCTTTCAGTGCATGCTTCGAACACGAATCACGTTGTGTGCTATATGACACGGAAAGTTGGACGGAGGTACGGGATATGACGGAAACAAAACTGGGAAAGAAAATCTTTTAAAAAATGTTCCACAATTGAAAATATTTAAGCAAGCATTACACATAATGAAATAAGCTCACATAAAACTATTGGCATGCTTTAAGTGGAAAAGACTGCTCTGTACAATACAGTTTCTCTGTTTACCAAACATGCCCCTCAATACGTCATCGTTTGATTACCTCATCGTACCTTGCACAACATTAATTGAGAGCCAATTGCCGGTCGCTTCATCTGTAAATGCCGCTCACGAGCGTCAGATAAGAGCGACCAGACAATTATATGTTTCTTGGCATTGATCGGCGTAGCGCCAATGAAATGACAAGATTTGAATAACGTTATCATGCCGTCATGGACACCTGTGTGAGCTTCAAATTATTCTATGAAATAGTCTGCACATCTTTCCCAGGGTGTTGCTGAGAAACTAGAAGGGCTTAGGTGTTAAGAAGAACAGGGCTGTGAACTGCAGCGAATTATCTTCAAGATGTTTATTTCGGCTCAAACCCCGCATAAATGTGGAGCACTCCATTTAAGAATAACACCGTAAGTTCACAAATGAATGAAAGTAAGTGATATCAAATCATGGATAAAAAAGTACAAAAGCATCACATGAAAGGGCATCACCGCGCATTCACAATGGTATATGGGCTCTGCCAACAGCGAACTGGTCAGCACGACACCTTTCGAGAGGTTGAGGTACTTCAAGTGAGTCAGTCCGTCCACTACGGTGACAATTTTACGCGCCAATTAAGCAGCCGCTCTGATGTCATGCAAATCTTTCATGATGCAACCAAACGATGACGTAATGAGAAGCATATCTAGGAAATAGGGGAATTCTGTTGTCTAGAGCAGTCTTTGGTAATTACACAATCCAAGATTTACAAGAGAACTAATTTTATCATACATGATGATTGCATCCACATCTTCAAATTTGAACATCCCTAAAAAAAGAGGTGGGCAGTGGAGATAAATGTGGGTATACCCACAGAGGCATTTCTCTGGTGTTTCTGCGAACTCTAGGGATCGGGTCTCACAAAGGCGGTCGTGAGGCCGGCTCGTGCCTGACGACAGCATTGCAGGTGAGACGGTGCATTGCGAGGATCTATGAAGAGTCGTAGAAAGCGGAAAAAGGGAGGATAAGTCCGTTTCCCGCAACGGCATATGGACTACATTCATTCTTCAATCACGTCCCGGTAATAGTGTTATGGGGTTTTATTAGGAGCTAAAACATAAAGGATGGTAGTCACCTCTATTTCTGGGAGTTTTGATTCCACAACGGCATCAATGTCCCTTTCACCTCAGCTATCAAACACAAATGTTTTGAATGTAATGCCATCTAGTGTGAGAAACAGAAGGCACTCACCCGGTTATGATGTTATTTAGCGGGTTTCCAATGCACAAAAGTTGATGGCACAGTTCGTCCAGACAACTCGAACTGAGTACTGATAGCAGAAGCATGTACCCCTTCCATACGTTCCAAACAAGCCCATGCCTGCTACATACAGACTGGTTCGCTTTTCTCACTTTGCTACGCGTGAGTCAGGTTGCGACCAAAGTTTTTAGTAAACATCAAAAACCATGCATGGATCATTCAGGACACTTATGCGAGCAGTCCGCAACCATGAGAACAAGTAAACTCGACTACGGCATACGAAGGGATACGTCATCAATGTGTGTCGGATTGCTTTTGCAGTGATTCTGTACGTGAAAGGATGATCTGAAGAACTCTAGTTGGAATGCCCGAACCTACCTGGACTTAGACGTGACAGTGATGACAACATCATCGGATCTGCCTTTGAAAGCCACGGAGAACTGCCAATCGCCTTCCTGAAATGCGACGAAATATTAGTATGTATCACGTGATGCACAAATCTGTTCACTAATCCATTTCATGATAGCGACAGAAACCGTCAGCAATGTTCTCTCGACGAGTGGACGGGACAAGACTCATCTGGGCGTTTCAAACCTCGATTATGGCCACCGACCTGCAACGGATGATCACCTGGACGATGGCGCCACTCTGAAGGGAAGTCGCTGAGACGTGACGGGGTATCACACCAGACACGTTTGCTATCACATGAACAGTTTGGCTTGGCATGTGCCTTGGCATCACCGCAAAAAGACAGCTCACCTCAGCAAGATGCAACTTCAACGTGCCGAAGTTTTCACTCGGTTCGTAGGAGACGTTCGTGTAAGTCGCGCCGGTAGGAGAGACCAAGCGAACAGACTTGACGGTGCTGATGGCCGATGCATCATCGAACGCCAGTTTGAAGACGACATCTCTCCCCGTTGTTGGATCGATGGAGAACATACTGGAAAATGTTGTGACGGAAGATCCGGAAAAATATTGCTGAAACAGCTGCCAAGCGCAGAGAACAGAACGTTAACTCCCTTATACACAAGGCTTGATAGTTACTATGTAAAAAATAAAACGTGAAACTTAAGAAAATAGTAATATGACTAGACTTTTTTTTGAACCCCGTGCCCCTGGAACTGAATGAGACGGTCTTACAATATGTCCTTATATGTTATTATTCATGCGAAAAATACAGGGACTTGACCATGCTTGCAGCTTTAAAAACCGCTCACCACAAAAACAGGTCAAAAACAGTTACCCACTTGCTGCTAATGTGCCCAATCCAGAATGCTTTTGTTTGGTTTGGAACAATTCCAAGCGAGCAAGATCTCGAATACTGCGCACCACAATGTTCTTCTCAGTCTCCACTGTGATGTCCGGTTGGTAGGTCAGACAGCCCTGGAACGCCTGGTCGAGCTGCAGTGAGGCCTTCGTTTCGCTGATGAAGTACGTCCTCCCACCACTAATGTCAGCGAACTTCTCCAATCGGGAATCGGCCGACGTTCTGCGCAGGAGAACGGTAACGCGGTTAATTGATAGTCATTTTCACTAGTTTTTACCGCCCCGAACACTGAGATCTAGCTATCTAGCAATGACTGACCTCTGCGATTATGTACATATAAACACTAAAACCTCTGGTAAGAAGGCCATATTCAACAGCAATAAATTTCTCCAGAAGCATTTATTAAAACTCCAGATATCTACGCTTTTAAATGCTCCACGATCCTCGAAAGTCTCTAGAACAAAAAGAGCACTAGAATATATCCAGACCTGGGGAAGAGCTCTCTCACCACATGCTATCCGTTTCATGGAAACCTAGACTAGGCCTGACCTCCGTAATGTCATTCTACACTTCCTTTGAAAACGCCTTCAGCGCCTCACCAGCCGGAAGTTGCAGTAGACAGCTCGCGAGGCAATCTCTACTTTGTGATTGGCTTAGCCAACCATCGTACGACGTGGTACCCGCTTCTCATTGGTTAATATCACATCATTTCCAGGACCTGTAACCATGGCTCGTTTCCCATGCGCGTTGTATATAAGGCGCATCGTTAGTGGCCATGTAGGTCCATACCCTCTCTAGGCTTGCAAAAAGCAAGATCGCTGTTGGTTGTGCCGGTGGTAAATGTGGTGTGGGTGTTGGTGTTTGTTGCGAGGGACTAGAAAATAGGGGTGATAGTTTGACAAGATCTTTAACTGGATCACGAGACACACTTGCACGAGCGAGATCTACACTAGTATAAATAGTACGCCAGCACGAATACATCTAGATATCGATAACCAAAATGGTCTTTTCAACTTAAAAATGTCATTGATAAGATCGGACTGATTCGATCCTCCGGTGGAAATGTATGCACGAACCATAGAACCCAATGTCAGATGGATATTGGTACCAAAATAGTCTGCTTTTCAAGGCGAGACCGATCACTGACAAAATAAAACTCATTCGGACCTCTGGTCGAGGTGAGTAACTGGACCACTGTTGGGCCAGGGTACGCTTTCCATAAGTGTTTTTTTTATCCAGGATTGTGGGGAAGGGGAGGGCAGGGCAGCTCAGAGGCGCTGTGTGACGTTTCTTTTCATGGATCCCTACAAGACCCGTATTAAATGTTCCTAAACATGTTGGGGGATAAATATTGCCCAAACGTTTACTTGTTCTAAGTGTAGACAGCACGGTCGGTGCAACATCGGAAGCGACAACTGCGCAAATATGACTGTCCACCAGGTTGCCAGGCTCCACCGAGGTATGCACGACAATATGCCTAAAATGAGGTGCTGAACAGTGCCATATATATCTATGTCCATGCATATACGATGTAGTCGTCTGTGTTTTTTCGTGCCTGACTTATGTGTCTTCTCAGACACATGCTCACATTGTGAATCATCATTGAGAGAACCTTCAGATCAGCAGCCCTTTTGATCTGGTCGTAATAAAATTTAAAATTAATTGGTGACATAGTAATATGCACGTTCAATAAATGATTTGATAATAAAACGTAAAAGTACCACAACTTTACATATAAGTACCACAATATTTAAACAAATCCTGCTGTTTTTTTGCCATCACTCTCTCATTGAATCCATAGGTGTCACGCCAATCACCTGGCCCTGAGCTGCCAAGGATCACGATGGCGCCACGCCTTGACAATTCACACCCATGCCCGATGGTGAGGCTACGTACCCGAAGGCCATTGTGATGACGCGAACGTCGGCCGCCACCACGGGGTCGTACAGGTCGGTCAGGTCCCACATGGCCTTTGTGTCCGGGTTGTAGCAGGGGGGATTCTCCCCGCCGTCTGTCATGAGGACCATCACTCCACCAGTCCCTACCGCTTTCTTCAGAGTCTGTAACACAGCGGTGCCATATTGAGACGTTTCAGTTCGGGAAGATAAGGCAAGAGGACAGTGAACGTGGATGGTCGACATTGGACGATTTTCAGAAGCTGGTGTCTGCACGGAGAGCGGTGACGGCGAACGATGGAGTGAAGGACGTCATTGGTGAATACATCGGTGAATATAGGAAATCCGTCAGTTGTTCAGACTCACTGGCTGGTAAGGGTATGTTGATGATCAAGGGCAAAGAAAAGCCCTTTGTGGGAAATCGTTTTTCAAGTACAGAGCATGTCCACTGAGAATGGATTGCGTGATGGCATTTTACGGTGCCGGATCTGTGAGCCTTTTTCGTAGATAGCATTGCACCATTATATGGCACTCAGACCATTACATTATTAAGGGCATAAACAGCTTTGCTATGGCTATGTATGACTGTACATTTAGCCGAGCCGAAAACTGGATCACTTACGACAAACGCCCGGCTGCACAGGCTGGGCCCATGGTCGGTCACAAATGTTAATCCTGCAGTCCGGACTGGTCAAATAAAGTTTGTTCACAATTCAAGTAAGACAAACTCAGCATTGTTCAGGAAGGGCCTCTGCGTCATGTGAACACTGGCCAGATCCAAAGACCCGAGCACCATAACATCCGAGCGATCCTAGTTATGGCCACCACAGTTTTAGTACCTGTAGAGCGCATACGTTTTACATCTGTTTTGCCATAACGTATTGGAATTCTAGGTCACTTTGGGTCTTTACTCGCTCCAGCACCCGTATGAAACTGTTGATCTCAGTCTAACAGAAAATGAAATTAGTTTTGTTGTACCTCAGTTTATTTCTGTCAAATGGTTTCATTTCCCCACCCCCCTCCTCCCACCCCATTAGAAATCGGCGCACATCATTTAGATGAAAAATTGAATGCAAAGTTTGAGCGCGTAAACAAAATCGGCAGCCTGCGTTAGCAAAAGAGGTCAGCACACTCAGTCAAATGATCTTACCTTAAGTCCCAAATATACACCGTTGCAGATGCACGTGCCACCAAATGCTGATGAAGGAACATGTCTGGCAATTTCTTCTCTTGATGTCTTATCCACAATCTGCTTGAAGTCTGTTCGAAGAACTGCGGTGTCTGTAAACGTCACGATGGACACCCAAGTGCCGTTCTGGAGTTCGTACTTGATCCATTTGGTGGCAGCAGAGTGAAGCTTCTGTATTTTAGACGTCTGGAGCGCAGAAGAGCAGCGACGGCATCAGTGGGGCAGAACCATGAACATTTCCTTCAAAGTTCATGGTTTAAGATTTCAGGGTTATGTAGTTAAGTCGTTCATGTTTAAAAAATACAAAGCATAAACTACAATTAACGTGCTCCTGGGACGCTCATGACAAATCAGAATGCTCCTGCTGATGGCCAGCGCGCTTCTAACAATTGTACAAATTGAAACCATTTGACATCTTTTTTGCCATAAATACGTTTGCAGTCCAAATTCACGTCACATGCGGGCGATAGCGACAGTGGGGGCCTTGGTGATCCTTTGCAAGTACGGAGACAGACGTTTCAACTTTCTTTCCTTCCCTCCAATCAGTATGCTATAACAGATCAACTGTCCTGACGACGTGTCAATCAGGGTCAGTATTGCAAGGTCACCGGGGTCACCATCGCAGGTATTTCAGTCGGCGTTGATAAATGTCAAGACAAGGCGTTAAACCCAAGTAATTTGTGTCGTCTTTTTGACATCATTAATTGACGGAATCACACACATCTTTTGACTGAGAACTGTTGGGCAGGTTATCGTTGATCATGCCATGGCAGGCACATCGCACATTGAGAACAGCGGACGCTGACATTTTTTGAATGGGAAGTAACAACAGAAAATGACACTCTGACGCCACTTGACCATTACTCTGACTTTAATAAAAAGCGCCTCTGTTGTTGTGCAAAACACGTCTCCGATTTGGCATTTGATTAATAATTACGTCGTCACTGCAAAGACGGTACAATGGCAGTTGGGATGAAATTTATTAAAACGCTGCACTGTTTTATTGGTGACTTTTACCACTGTTGGAATGCTACGGGCGTTAACAGCGCATCGTCATCATATGCTTGCTATTCTTTGGAAATTTCGATAGAAATTGCACCGACTTAACTTGAAAATAGATCCCTGGTGCCGAAAGTGTAGTGGGACCGATAGTGTAGTGGGAAACCAGAGGTACGGGGTTCGGTTCTACTGTATGGATCGGAGAGTGAACAACTGGGATCGCCGTCCACTTGCTTGTCTCGACGACGCTGCAGACACATCCCCCATGCTGCCGGATGTGTCGAGCACCATGATGAACCTGGCCTGTGCCGGTTGCACCACCTCGAACGTCGGCACAAGCTGGTTCGGCTCCAAGCTGGCCGGCGGGTTCCTGCGATCGGAGACGACGCGTTTTACCACGGCGGTCGACAAAGGGGAAAGGGGAGGGGTACACGGTAACCACAGCGCCCGTCACTGGGGAACGCGCGTCGGCGCTGGGGCACTAGGGTTAGCGTAAAGGTAAGCAAGCGTGACGTCACGGCGTGTAATACTAGCGGTGTTCCTATGTGCAAACGTCTGACATAAACAGCTGCGTGCCATCCCAAAATCTATATCCTTTTGCGCGCTAATGGTGTGACAACAGTCGTCTGCAGCCTCATTGCAGTCCATGAGTCCAAACTGCGGCAGCGACACTTATACGGAACGTGCCTCGAAGTCAGGGCGTATGACTGAATAGAAGCCCACGCACACGTGCACCCAGCAGAGAAGGAAAGTGAGTAGATTAATCAGGCGGATCCAACCATTTGATCCAATGCACAGGATTGGATGTGGATCGGATTACCGACATTTCCTTAAATATGTGCGGATTTTTATCGAACCGGACTTCCATTAACGTATGGTTTTTAATCACCAGAGATGAAGTTACCCGGTCAGAAATCATACCGCTAGGTGGTGTCGACTAGTCCTGATTTATATGCCAGGTGATCGCCCTAAATTCTGCTAGAACAGCAGCTTTTGTAATCCAATTTTAACCTGCAGGTTTGCATTACACCAAACAAATGATCTATGTTCTGGCTTCATTATACTTAGGCTTATTTGGGCGTACTTGATTCGGATTGAACCTAGTAAAGCACTGGAAGAAGTTTTTGACTTGGAATGAATCAGTTTCGTGCCTGGCCGGATAAGGACTGGATCAGATCGAACGACATTTACCCGGTTTGTTCTTTGGCTCACCTGCCTCCCTTGAAGTCGGCGTTTTCTCTCATCACCTCCCAGACCGATCTCTGGTTGCAGCGGAAGTTCTGCTTGTTGGGCGCATCCGGACGGTGCCGCTTATCATCGCTGTTGTTGCAGAAATGGTTCACCTGGTACACAGGACCGCCGTCAGATCGGTACAATAACGATAAAAATCGCTAGCACATTCTCTGAGGTAAGATCACTGACCACATCAACAACAGCCAATCAAACACACAGCGATGCGGTACCCAAGGGGCATATTATACTGCATAATGTACACAGTACACAACACAGTGACTGTGCATGCATCCAACCATGTGTGCGTGCGTGTACTGCGTGTAAGGGTGTGACCTTCCGGATATTCGGCCTTCCTCAGACCAACAGCATGTGTTACGCCACACTTTGCGTCGGCGTCGTTAGGCGAACAGCTTCATATGTGGTTGGAGGCAGTTCAGTAACGACATGGGCAAATTAATATGGCTGTTCCCAAGCAAAAGTGCACAGCAAGCACAGCAATCATTGCAACCAACGTTCGCACTGTAACGTTGTTTAGTCATTATCTCCTGATACACACACACACACACACACACACACACACACACACACACACACACACACACACACACACACACACACACACCACACACACACACACACACACACACACACACACACACACACACACACACACACACACACACACATACACACACACACACACACACACACACACACACACACACACACACACACACACACATATATATATATATATATATATATATATATATATATATATATATAATTCAACATAAGAACCCTCGTAGTTTTATCGCACTACAGCTATGAAGGCTAGATCAATGGTACAACTTTGCCAGTGGGTCCAGTAAAAAATCCAGTGTGACACCTTCTAATTAGTCCCATCACTCGGAAATGTCCTGGGTACCAAGACCAACCAGTACCAGGTGCTTCTTTATCTATTTATGTCGTGATTAATTATATATGCCCCACCGTGATTGTGACCTTTTCTCAATGTAGAGGTATGCCACAATACGCACAGCTCAACCTTTTGAAGAAGGAAAAAATGTCCGCAGGCAGCGAATATCGCACTCTGCAAAGAGGAGCGCTGTGTGGATTCCTTATAGTGCTGGGCTCCAGGTCACCGTGGGCTTTTGTGCCGCAAGAGCTGATGGAACAGTGGTGACTTCCGACAGATCCGCACTGACGTCTGCACTCCCGTCAAACACGGCCACACCGTGCTTCTACCCCTCAGGTCCGACAGTTGGGCCGCCCTGTGCTGCTGTACCGAGTCCAGGTAGGTGAACGCCATCAAGGACGAGATGGCGTCGTTGTCGTCATACGGGTAGAAGACGCAGTTGTTGTCCGGCAGCCCAGTGGTCTTGCTGTAAGTGCATGGCTGCTGAGTCTTCTGGTCCCTGACAGGCGAAAACACGCGAACATTACGCTTCGCATCTTGCAGTCATCTGCTAACCGCACCAACACTTTCATTATTGATAGGTTCTACTTTGGTGGGCGTAGAAGCTAGAAATATATATATATATATATATATATATATATATATATATATATATAGAGAGAGAGAGAGAGAGAGAGAGAGATACACACATTTATATATACCAATGCATATATACATATATATGTATACACACACACACAAACACACACACACACACACACATATATATATATATATATATATATATATATATATATATATATATATATATATATATATATATGACTTCATATAAATGCCTTCGTCCACACCGCACTGCCATGTAGCCTCGGACGTCCCTGAGTGACGTGCGTGCTATCCAGATGCGACACTAATCCCTCGTCGGCTCAGAGGATCTGATATCGACGAGGTCGTACACGATACGGGCGTGCGGTGACCAGAAGTCTCAAAGTCCTAGCACGGGGGTCTTCAAACGTGTCAAGACAGCGCCACGTTACCGCGCGCACAGCATGCAGCATAACTCCTGCGCCCACGCGCCCACCACAGCACGACCACAGTTCCAGGGAACGAGATTTTAGACACCATCTCTGCACGATCAGGTTCCTACTTATCAGACCTATCTCTTGGTAACCTGTGCTTGGCGACACGTTCTGTTACTTCATTACTGCAAAGGGTTGTTGGGTGTGGGGTAATGATAGTTGCTGTTCCATTACCCATTATCCGACTGCCCCATTACCCTCCCCCCCCTAGAAGTAGCCTTGCCTTGCACTAAAATGTAACGTAAACTTCATAGGCAGAGCTCACAACATGCAGTATGATTCACTGAAGTCATTGCCCACAGTCTCTTCAGGCCTCCATCTCCTCGGCTTTCTCAGCAATTCGAGGCCCAAACCTCCCTTTGCGTACGAAAAGAAATCAACGTGCATCGAGTTCTCACACTCACATTTTGTATCCGCGTAGGTCTGTGTTGGAGCAGGTATTGGGAACCACTTTGCTCTCTCCATTAGCCTCGCGTGTGTAGTAGAACATCGGGTATGTGTCGTCACCAGGGTAGCCATACTCTTCAAAGACGCCGTACCTCAGATGAGCCCATTCGTGGGTCAGCACCTTGCCTGCAACGTGCCATGGATTGTTGTTGCAGCTGCAACACACCATGGATTGTTGTTGTGGTCGCTGCACTTCGTTCCGGTCATCTCTGTGCGCAAAGCATGAATAAGGCCTTGAGAATGATATCCTACACCACCGGGGGAATAGAGCACATGGATCCTAGGATTTTGGTACTGAACATCACGTCCGTGGATATTGTTGGGAAGACGATACTGCTGCTGATCGTGATGATTTCATAGAACACCTTTGAAATACGTTTCGTACGTTCCTTCCCATGGGTGTACCATGAAAGGAAACGCAAATAAAGTCCCGAGTGTCTTCTCTCCAACCTTTTTCCGTTGGCAAACCCCATACCGGCGACTACTTTTATTTGGCAACCACATACCACCACAAACATTGAGTTTGATGCATGCGAGTAGGATTGATGCAGATGTTAAGTAAAGCGCGCAGCAACGGATTAAATGTTACCTAACTAGACACCACGACGCGTGTAATCCGCGCCGGCATGCCTACATCATGTACATCAGCCACTGGCTGACGTCTGCCTCCACGTCAGAGACGGCCACCCTGTGCTTCTGCCCCCACTGTTCAGTCAGTGGCTAAACAGTGCCGTGCTGTGGTCCCCGAACGTGGGTGGGTATGCCATATGCCTGGAGGGGAAGCGGTCATACCAACTTGCATTGCAAATTACGTCATCTTAATATTTCGCCACGAGAACGCGTACGCTAAAGCAGATCGATTGCACCGACTTCTATCATACCGTGCAACACATGCATGCCAGGCAATGATATGAGTCGGTAACAGCAAGCGGAATTACCACCTAACGGGGCATCAGCTGAGCTTCCCCCCAGTATTTATAATGTAGAAAAGCCCTGGATGTTCCGCGCAACTGGTGGCGTCCCGGCCGGCCACTGCACGCTTCCCGCTGCCAGAAGGGGTCGTGGGGGATAGAAGTAGGGAGAGGGAGGGCCATACCTGGAGGGCCGAATCTGCGAGTTGAGCTAGTGTTGAGGTTCTGCAGGTAGCCTGGCGAGACATGGATGTATTTGCCGGGCTCGCCGCAGCCGCCCGGCTGCAGCGTGTACGGGTTGTCGCCGTACGCAGGGTTGGGCGGGGCCAGCCGCACGTCTGCCCCCTGCAGTCAGCCAATCACAGCTGTCGTTAAGGTAGGGCTGATTAAGTACAGCATGCGTTTGTCGCTTAGTCTGGACCAATTACAGCGAGCGTCTGTCGCTTACTCCGGACCAATTACAGGCGTCAATGTTTCCCAAATCATGACAGCCGAGCCGAAATAATCCTGATTCTCCAAAGTCGCTGCAGTTCCCAATAAGTCTGAATAAGTTTGTATGATCGGTACGTTTAATCCATCCATGGTCATCGTCAGGTCCGCACTCTGGACCAGCTACGGCCAGGCTAAGGGCGTACCCCAGTCGCGTGACAAGTGACTGCTATTGATATCTTCGTTGCTGCAAATTGCCAGCGTAAAATATCAGGGGAGCGACAACAATGGTCTTTGTCAAATGATCAACAACAAATGATCTTTCACTTTCATGGAGGTTTGATGTTCACCTTGTGGGCATGCCAAGAATAATTTTAAATATGATTTCCTCACATTTTTGGGCCTTACCCATACCCGTGGAACATTGCGAGCAATACGCATCAACTCGAAAATTTACATAATCAGCAACGGAGTTTCTCGGCAACAGGGAAGCCATCTTTGAACAACAGGACGATCAGACTTAAAAGGCAGGAATCGAAAGGCTGGTGCGTTGTTCGAGAGAGGAAAACTGATTGCAAACAAACCAAGGAGTTGCTTAAACTGAAGCCGAATGTAGCACAGCTAGGTCGACGTAAGAGTGGTGCATACCCAATCAGTTGCATCCCCTGCTAACTATTCACGCTTTGCCTACGTGTCTCTGGCATTCTTTATTTTCACCCCGATAATTCATAATACAGTTGTAGTGCATGACAACTGAGTTCATAGCCTACACTTCCAACATTCCACTAGATGTCCTACAAGAGCTTGATATTTTACCTAGTCTGTTCGAATACCCCCGGTGAATACCTTCTGCTGACCAATCAGGGAACTACGTTTTTGCGAGGTTTCCGACGATTCGTTAAACTTGAGATTACGTTGCTGCTTGAGCAGGGAATCTCGCATACGGCACAACCCAAGAGTCACACATAACATCAATTCAAAATAACCAACGCGGAATGGAGAGATAGGGGTAGGGCAGCAATACGCCATACACTCCATATGATGGCAGGACTCATAAATCGCATGTTAGGATGTTCCATCGCCTACGTGTTCCAAATAAAAGATGCTTATCGTGCATTCTAGCGGGATTTGGTACGGGTCCTGGCGGGGACGAGTTTGGTCCGACTGATCCGAAAAAGTCGACCATCAGCTGGCCCGAGAGTGTCAAGCTGACCTGGGGTACGGATGGACGGGTTGTAGTACGGCGCGGCACACAAACCATCCAAACTCCAGTCTGACAAGAGCGCGGAGGCAACACCATCCGATGAACTTGATCGGCCTGTCCTTGGTCCACCTTCCTTACCCTACTTCATTGTGACAAAGATGAAGGGCAACATGTGCTTTTATTTTTGTATACTGTATACAAAATCCGTAATTTAAGTAGATTATTAGTCACGCGAGGGCAGATCCGGGAAGCGGGCACTGGACGCACGTGCCTCTTCTGATCGGCAGGTGAAGGTGCCACTTAAGAGGCCGCCTTACGGCGTACAACATTTTTCGACTATGCCTTTTTCCATCGGATCAACGATTTATGTTGACCAATATTTGTATGGAATTAAGGCTAGGAGTAAACTGCTTCACTTAAATACGTAATTATGCGCTGCAAAAACAGCGACGAGGATAGGTTCACTGCGATAGCGGTAAGCAAGATGCGTTTGCTAAAACCGGGTCGCTATTTGCTTCCTTATTGAATACCATCGGGAGCCAGTTTGACCCCCTACCTCCGACGGTTTTCCAGAACAGTTTCTTACCGGCGCGGCGTAACCGTTCTGACGTAGGCTTTTTATTATCTGTTTTGTGTATTGTATATCCCAATTCATAGCTGAGCTTGTAATCCAAACTAACGATGTCGCACCAGAAATCAATTGCTTGAATGCCTCGACTGAAGCAGTCAACGATAAGTGCTTGGCCCACTGCTTATCACGCCATTTGACCATGGATAGATTTGATACTCTATTCCAAAATGGTTATGAATTAATAGATACGGCTGCACAAACAATCCACCACACTTTTCACAGCTTCACGGCAGGCTCGGGTGTTAGATTATTGAACAGCCTTGATTATTTGCGTTATGGCAGGCTCACTGTAGTTCAAACCATCAAATTATTCTTCCTTAAGGCTCCTAGTGGCGCAACGCTGCCTTCAGTTTTTTAAATGGCTTCTAGAATGCGAAAGTTTTGTGCAAATATCCGACAAAACTTGGTGCAACGGCCGAGTTTTGGAACCAGATCTCTGCTTACGAACTGCTGACCTGCCGATGATTTGGCACGGGCTATCGGTAGCTTTTGTGGACGGAAAAAGAAAAACGATTCTTGAAATTATAGGCATTATAATGCATTCGTATTCTAAACATATTCAGATCTTGACTTTGCTCGACAGAAAAGATTCTTGAAAATCATACTAGAGTACTGTTAGGCAGGTAACTTTCCGCCTGGTTTAGGATATGAAGCTGCTTCTCAGCAAATAAAACCTCTAGAATATTACTGAACCGGGCATATTTGGTAGAGATGTGAGGGTACCCAATGTGATGTGATGGCAGCCTGCCACTACAGCTAAATAATCGAATCGTATCCAATCATGCAACTCGTAACCTTCTGCGTAACCCCCGTAAAACGATAGAACAAACAACCTATGAACGTAACCGCACGCGAAATCTTTCGCGACTTCAGGTAGCCACAAGTTAGAAATGGCGAGATAAAACGAGAGACAGTAGCAGCTTCGGCTCAACCTGATTTGAAACCAGCTTCAGCACAATGTATCTCACCTCATACACTTCCGCGAACGACTCCCGGTCGATGGTGAAATTCGTCCAGGACATCGGAATCAGGATCGTGACACTTTTGAAGTAGGCGCGTCTATCAGTGGCCGTGAAGAGCGCCTGAGACGCCTCGCGGAACATGACCTGAAAACACGAGCGGCAAAATATGTCAGTACACGCACCCAATTCGCACCAATTGCACGCTGGCATCGTGAGCTGTGGGTGGGTGTATGGAGCCATGTATCCCTTTGGAAAGGCCACAGCCCAAAAGATTGCCTTCGTTCCCGTAGTTGAAAGTTGGGCCACCCCCAAATCTCTCTGTTACTGCAATAACCCGAGATACTGCGCATTTTCCTACAAAACATATAACGCTTTTCCCAAGTCCGCACGCTTCTTCAGGGTAAACGGTCAGACGTTGTAGGTCAGGTTTGCTCCCTGGGCATAATTAAGGCGTTTGCCTGGTTCGTTTCGCGGTGCCATGAATGCGTGCCGTCTTTAGCGTTCGGTCGGGACCCATCCGATTTCTGTGGAGAATAATCTCCCGGAACACGTTTGCTTTTACGCTTGAACGGTCCCACGACCAAATCATCCTCACCAGCCTGTCGGCTAATACCCGAGTGAAGGACTTGGGATTCAAAAAGCAGCAATTGTTCAAAAGCATTTTACTTCCTTTCTTGAATCCAAAAGAAAGGCTAAGCAACGAGCTTTTGAACATAAGAAGCGGATGGAAAGAAGACATCCTCGCCGGTATTTAGCATGGCGTAGACATGAAGCAACACGATTCACGTTTCAACAACGCCTTAAATGCGTCGGGTCCAACGAAAAATAGCCACGCACAGTCGCGTAGAGACTTTCGAATTTCCTAACTTATACGCTACACTGATGGTTATCATGCGTTTATTCTCTACAGTTCAATGCGCTGCAACAATTTTTGTCTTAATACCCAGCGGACGGGAGCTTTCTCCACTGGGGTCGTTGGCGAGGGCAGATCATGAACACGTCTTCGCCATTTCGACCTTGCTTAAGCTAGAGTCATGTGAAGAGAACCATTACGTAGCTCGGTGTCTGAGAAATCCCACGTTGGAATTTGATTGAGAAATTCCATGTTGTAATTTGACCTCTAGAGGTCATCTAGTGACCATTATATCAGACGAGACTTAACGCATGGGTTGTAATCTATCGCTTAAAAATTATTTCAGAATTAAGGAAAACGTAACGTCGTGATTGCGGGAAACGGACACGTAGCTGTTGGGGTCGGGAAACCTGTGTGCTGTGTTCTGTTCATGGGAATTGACTGTCCATGAACAAGAGTCAAGACATAACAATATTTGTTGTAAAAATGGCTCATCAAGCACCCAGATGTAATATCATGGATTCTAGCAGCCTGAAAAACTACAGGCAGCATATATTCATTTGTTTTTGATCTGGTCTACAGCCGTTCCGATTACACGAAGCTTCGCCCTGGCCCCACGGAAGACTAGTGCCACCATCGCTCCCCCATCGGCATTATGTCAGTACTTGGGGCCATGATAGTCGGAGCCGAAAACCGAAATAGAGCTCGGAAGCATCCGTCTTGCCGTTGTTCTGCAAATGCTTCAACTGTTTTGGGGACATGCCACTTGTCTCCTGCCTTGAAAATGCTGTATTCGCAGTACCGTCCTCGCGGTGCGTCATCGCGCCCGCATGGTGATGGTTGGACTGGCTCGCCTGCTCTGCTCTGTCCGCCCACTCTGCCCTGCCCGCCTGCTCTGCCCTGCCCGCCTGCCGTGTCCTGCCCACCGGCCCTGCCCTGCCCTGCCCTGCCCGCCTATCCTGCCTGCCGACCCCGCCGGCCGCCCCTGCCCTGCTCTGCCCTGTCCGCCTGCTCTGCCCTGTCCGCCTGCTCTGCCCTGCTCGTCTGCTCTGCCCTGCCCGCCTGCTCTGCCCTGCCCGCCTGCCCTGTCCTGCCCACAGGTCCTGCCCTGCCCTGCCCTGCCCTGCCCGCCTGCCATACACGCCTGCTCCACCCTACCCGCCTGCTCTGCCCTCGACGCCTGCTCTTCCCTATCCGTTTACTCCTCCCGCCGGCCCTGCCCTGCCAGCCTGCCCTGTCCTGCCCACCGGCCCTGCCTAGCCCTGCCCTGCCCTGCCCTGCCCTGCCCTGCCCTGCCCTGCCCGCCTGCCATGCACGCCTGCTCTACCCTACCCGCCCGCTCTGCCCTGGCCGCCTCCTCTGCCCTGGCCGCATGCCCTACCCTGCCCGCCGACCCTGCCCTGCCCGCCTGCCCTGCCTGCCGGCCCTGCCCTGCCCGCCTGCCCGACCAGGGCAGGCGGGCAGGCGGGCAGGGCCCCTACCCCTATCCTGCCCCCACCCCTATCCTGCCCGCCTACCCTGCCCACCTGCCCCGCCCGCCGGGCCTGCCCACCTACCCCGCCCGCCTGCCTTGCTAACCTGCCCTGCCCTGTTCACCTGCCCTGCCCTGCCCACTTGCCCTGACCTGCCCACCTGCCCTGCCCGCCGGCTCAGCTCACCCCACCCTCCCTCGGGCCGGTCGGCCGGCAGCGGCGGCTACCTTAACGGCGTCGATGAGCTGTTGGCCCTGCTCCTGCGGCACGTCCTGCGAGATGCCGACCAGCACGCCGGAGTAGCCGTTGTCGGCGATGGTGACGCCGGCGCGAACTGGGCCGATGGCCACCGCCAGCAGCAGCAGCAGCGCTGTACCGGCGAACGCCATGGTTCGAGCCGGAAGGACGAGTGGCGGCCGCCGGAGGCCGTCGCTCGCTGGGCGGGCCTATCGCGACGCGCCCAGGTTGCCCTCGGTTAGCGACACATGGTATCTTCGCTGTCTTCTGATAGCGTAATCCGGCTCCGGATAACGGAAAGTTCGGGGCTAGGGACTCCTTAAGTGAATTTAAGGGTGGGTCGAAAGGTGCCGGAAACAAGTTCTTCCAGTTTGTTGTTTTGGTATATATATATGCATACCGCCTTGTTTTGAGATACTCATATTATCCACATAAACTTGGCCTTAGTTTTTCAAGGACGTTTCCGGTTTACCATGACAACAGTTCTGCGCAACCCGGATATGCGCGCCGTTCATCATTGGAACGGCGCAGATAACTGAAAGACGGCATGACATCGTTCGGCCTCCTCGAATGACTGAAAGACGCCGTGACATCATCAGGCCTCCTCGATCAACTGATAGACTCCATGACACCGTTCGGAAGTTGAAGGCTTGAGAGGCGATGGCGACCAATCTGCACGATGTTGCAAGCCTTCGCTCGCAAGGCTGCCCTGCTCACTTGGCTGCTTCAACAAACAAGTCGTCTGTCACTGCCAAACTGCCACCGCCTCGACCTGGCGCTGGAGGGGCAGCGAATAGTCACTCTGCAGCCACAGCAGCCAACGCTGGCTGATCGTGTCAGCTGGCTGCGCACACCGGCAGCTGCTGGTCTTCGAGCTGCTGATACCGAGCAGCCGCGCCGTGGAGGTGCACGTCCATCAGAGACCGGCGGCCGGCAGCGTTCCGGGCACTCCAGCAACGGTGCCGCGGCTGCTGCTGTGAACTGCGCCACGAAGAAGCGAACGCTGGGATGTGCTGTCTTTCTGAGAAATTTCACCACAGGACAGCTATCACGGTTTCCTGACTGTAGGCGCCAATTAGCGCGCGGCGACCACTTTTTATCCTTCGCTATGTTTTCTGGGTCTAAACTCGTTCACAAGAGTAGTGATTGTGATTGTTCGCACTCTGCACCGATGACCACTGCGTGGGATCCGAACGACACCATCGCCTGCCTCATGGCACGCATTCATTGCGGAACGCACCGAGTCAGTTGCCAGCCACGCAGACCGGCAGCCGCTTCCAGGTGGTCGCAGAGATAGGACAGCTGCACCCAGGGGTGTCACTAAAATCGGCCTTCTCCGCGGATTTCGGCCACTCGAAAATACGTCCCCGACAGGGGTGTCAATTTTGGTAAATTATTGGCGGCCCCAGCCGAGGGCCCGACACCATACCCACCTATTTTTTTCTCATCGGATTTAGCCCATTTTATATTGAGTAAAGGCAAGATACGTTTTAATTTTATGTAATTTATGGAAGTCTTTAACTCAAGTAGCATAGAAATCATGCAAGGATGGATCTATGGATCAGGCACCGGACGCACACGTCTCTTCTGACCGGCAAGAGAAGGCGCCCTTTTAGAGGCCACCTTGGGCGCCAGTGGCGCTCTTCTATGGCGGTCATGAGAGGCGGCACGCATTTTGGCTGTGGGGGACGGGGACGGGGTTAGCAATGAAGGACTTATGTCATCTCCATATTCCAGAGCTTTTCTCGTTAACCTCATAAACGAAGTTAATTGCATCGTTTATCCGCTCAGCTGTTACGTTGTGTATCTGGTGGTGAAAACAACCATTAGTTTTTGTTATGATAGTGGTACGAGACATCGCTAGGCAGAAAGATCAAAGAAGATCAAAGAAGGTTTTGTGCTATGGTCATCTTTTACCTACTTTTTAAGTATTCCAGCTTAAAACATTGGGGGCAAGCCAACGTTAGGACGCCCAACTCAACATTGGGGGGGGGGGGGGGAGGGATCAGGGCCCTCACAAAAGAGCTCAAATCGGCACCCGAGGTCCTCGATGTTAAATAAGAGACAACGTTGTTTAATATTCATGGATTCAAAATGTTTTCCTGCCGATGAATAACTTTATTTCAAGTTAATGTTTGTTATCTGTCTGTGAAAATTTTAGAACGGGGTGTGATTCACAGCGCAAGCCACTTCGCAAACAGTAAGGGATAATTCATGACTACCATTGTAGCTTATCGTGTTGCATAACCAACACAGCCACGATTACGTCACAGATACTCTTGCCACTGTTGGGGAACACCTGCGTTAATTTTCATGGGCCACCCTGTGCTTTTAAAAGCTGCTGCATCTTGCAGTCAGTTGTTCTTCATCTCATCCAGGCGTTACCATTTAATAAAGTTGTCAACATATGCAGACTGGCTTCACATATGACAGAGTTACTTGGAGAACCTTGACAAAACAGTTAGTACCCACAGGATGCTTTATGTACATTATCAACATGAAACTGATAGCGATATGTTCAGGTATCTTTTACCTAGCATGCCAATAGTCAAGATAATTGTTCTGCATGTATTCTGCCCACCATTCCTTCCTTGCTCATATGCATTGAAAGGGCTCTGATTACTATTGGGAGGAGGAGAAACGGGCTGAAGTCAGCATTGCCAGCCTCAGCCCCGCCCCTGCCGCCGCCTCAAAGTATGTAAAGTGACGCCCTTTGCTGCACCACAGCAAGGACAGGCTCTGCCTCCAATGCTGCATTAAAGTCGGCCTCAAGGTCAGCTGAATCAGAGTCAGCTGTCAGCGGTCCGGCTGGAAGCCGCGTGCCGGCCGTCATGCTGGACATGAGAAGCCAGATGGGCCCAGTGTCCGGAGAGGCAGCCGCAGAGCTGGCAGTGGACGGGCTTCAGCGGACGCTGCACCTGTCCGCGGTCGATGGGACCCTGATGACGGCGTCCCGCCTCGCGAGCTTTAGTGTCTGTGGCTCGTCTGGCGCGGAGCGTTTTCTGCGTAACGTCGTCACAACGCCGCGGCTGTGCATTGCAGACGTCATGCTGTCTGCTGTCCGAGAGGAAATACAAAAGGGCCTCGTCTGGTGGATCTCCACCTCGCCCCGACCCCAGCTGCACGAGCCGAGTTCAATACTATACTGCTCAATGTATACTGTTCAATGTATACTGCTCAATATATACTGCTCAATGTATACAGCTCAGCACATAGGCATGCACATAGCTGTCCTCTCGATCGCCTTCTTACTGGCCATGATCCATCAGACGGCCTCGCGGGCGTTTTATTTCTCTGCCGCAAGCACCGGATCACTCTTTCCGCCGAAGTACGCGCATGCGTGTACTTCAGCGTCGGCGTGGCGCCAGCGCGCCAGGCCAACCTGCGCTTCCGGCTAGCGAGGCGCTGAGTGTCTCACCTGCGAATCTCACTGTGCATGAAACGCAATTGTTTGGTTCGGCGCCGCATCGTCATCTTGCTGTGTTAACTTTGCGTTACTTCAATGTGCAGATTGCGTTGCAGATGATTTCCCGCCAGCTGCCAGTATTTTTCGAAGTGGTTTAGACGTCGGCGACTTCTTGGTGTCTGTTGAGAGCGCCCAGGAGGCCCCACAGTTGCATCAGCTGCCGTGCATGGTGCTGAGAGCGTCGGAAATCTCACGGAGTGAGATTATTCTCATGAGGCGCTCGAGGTGCCTTCCACTCGAAAATAAATCAATGGATCGCGGGGATCAATAGCGGAGAGCAATCTGGACCTTGACTGCGCGCCTGTTGACTCGGCCGCCTCAGGCCGTTCTCCAGTACACAGAGCGCGACTTAGTCCGGGAAATATGAAATGGCTACACAAACCAGCCACTAAACGAAGCACGCTCCGCCCAGCATCGTCCGTATTTGATCCTCGCTGCCTCATCATGCCTTTCACTGCACGCACGAAATGCATGCTGCAGAGGATTTTGTTCGAGAATTTTGGATGGGACGGCTTAACCCATAATGGGAAGCCCGTCTCGAGTGGCAAACGTGGCTATGTGCAAGGGTGGCGAAGCAGGGCTGAAGGGGGGGGGGGGAGGCACAGAGGGGGTTAGAGTTGCACCCTCCCTGTCTTCACCTGAGTTAGTCCTTCTTGCCTTCCGAAAGGGGGAGTAAAGTATGTTTCTACCCCTCAAAGTCTTAGATTTTCTTTTACTCAAACCAAAGCTTACAAAAATTACCAAAATTCAGATCAAGGAGGCCCCATAACTGAGCTAGGGAGCGCTAAATCGGGCCCAGAAGACACGCTTGCGTATCAAAAGGCCCGTGCTTGGTCCGTGACACCACCATTATCATTAAGGTAGCCCACGTTCTAGATCAGGAGGCTCAGATTTGTGTTCAGGAGGCCCTTGGCTTGCTCGGAAGACTCCCGTTACAAGCTAGAGGCAGTGGGTCACTTTTAAAATCGGTTTGGTGGAGGAGTTACTTAAATTGACCCAACCTTCCCAAAGAGCCTTGTTTCTTCCCGGCTCTCGGCCACTTTGATTTTCAACACAAAGAATTTGGCCGGTTCCAGAGTTGTTTTGGTGTCGAGATATGGCTTCCAATTTCAAGGCGATGTGACAGTGATAATGATTATACATGATGATGCTGGCATTTACAGTGATGTGCATAGGTAACTGACGTGCCAGCGCTTCAGAAGCTGCATTTCATTGACCCGGCATTCCACTTCTTACTCATACGCATTGGTGGTGGGGGTGGAGTGGGGGGTTGGATGGGGAAGGCCCAGAAGAGCATTGAGGGTTCAAGTCACCATTGGGGGGGGGGGGGGGGGGGGGGGGGCTCAGACCTCCGAAAGTGTGCAAGAGTGCATCCCCTGACTGAGAGGCTCCCGTTCTGAATAAAGAGGCACCCTCTATACATGAGGAAGCTTCTTGTTTGGAGCAGGAGGCCCTTTTCATGTATCAGATGGTTGCAGTTCCGGCGCAGAATGCCCTGTTTTAGGAAAACGAGGCCCTTTGCGGGACTTGGAAGCCCCTTTTGTGAACCGGAAGGATTCTGTTTTGGATCAAGAGGATCTTTTGTGGAACAGGGGTCCTGTTTTGGGGTAGAGAGGACTTTTATTGGTTCCAGATGACCTCCTATGCCGATCAGAAGGCCCTTAGTTTGGAAACTTCATCGTCTACATCTATTTAAGGGAGCATGCTTCTCATTACCCTC